CCTCCATGATTTATCAATTTATGTTTATTTATCACATTGCCATTGAAAATACGGCGTTTATATCTTTTCTTGAGATTTCATGTGATAAATTATGAAAAATGGTAAAAAATTACGCAAACCAAGTTTATCCACCCCCAAACGGATACTATGATTTAAGTGTGTTTTACAGAGTTTTAGTGTGTATTCTGCAACTTTATCGAATGTAAACATTGTGTCTATCTGTCATTTAGTGCTCTTGTAGTTTTCGTGCTCAAAATTTCAGTTTTGTGTTCAAAATTGGAAGTTATTTTTTTTTTTTCAAAATGCCCAAAAACGACCAGATTTCGATCAGTATCCGAAATTTGATTATTGAACATCACAAAACTGGCAAAAGCTACCGTGATATTGCCGATATTGTCCAGCTTCATAAAGATACGGTCGCTAGATTTGTGCAGATGTACAAAAAGCGCGGTTCTATCTCACCAGCTAAGCGATTGGGGGGTCCTTCAAAGACAACTGACCTAATTGACAGAGGAATCGTGAAGAAGGCGGAGCTGGACTGGGGACTATCAGCTCCGAAAATTGCGAACCAGATTGAAAGCGAGTTTTCCATTCAACTGACATCACAATCCGTACGAAATCGTCTTCATAAGAAAAGTCTTAAGGGCAGAGTAGCTCTTGAGAAGCCATGGTTGTCCGCAATATATATCAAAAAAAGATTAAAGTGGGCCCAGGACCACATTTCATGGACCAAAATTTTATGGTATCTGATGGTGTGGTCTGATGGTATCAATGGTGACCCAAATAGCATTACTTTCGTCTCGTCTGACCAGATCACCTTATTCCAGTCATCACTGGTCCATGAAATGTGGTCCTGGGCCCACTTCAATCTTTTTTTTATGTTTTTGCGGACAACCATGGCTTCTTAAGAGCTACTTTGCCCTTAGGACTTTTCTTATGAAGACGATTTCCTACAGATTGTGATGTCATTTGAATGGAAAACTCGCTTTCAATCTGGTTCGCAATTTTCGGAGCTGATAGTCCCCGGTCCAGCTTCTACTCTTCACGATAGCTCTGTCAATTAGGTCAGTTGTCTTTGAAGGACGCCCCAATTGCTTAGCTGGTGAGATAGAACCACGCTTTTTGTACATCTGCACAATTCTAGCGACCGCATCTTTGTGAAGCTGGACAATATCGGCAATATCACGGTAGCTTTTGCCAGTTATGTGATGTTCAATAATAAAATTTCGGATACGGATCCAAATTTGGTCTTCTTTGGGCATTTTGAAACAAATAACTTCCAATTTTGAACACATAACTGAAATTTTGAGCACGAAAACTTCAAGAGCACTAAATGACAGATAGACACAATGTTTACATTCGATAAAGTTGTAGAATACACCCTTAAACTCTGTAAAACACACTTAAATCATAGTATCCGTTTGGGGGTGGATAAACTTTTTTTGCGTAATTTTTTACCATTTTTCATAATTTATCACATGAAATCTCAAGAAAAGATATAAACGCCGTATTTTCAATGGCAATGTGATAAATAAACATAAATTGATAAATCATGGAGGAACACTCATAAAATTAATATTATTTTCACCAGAAAAACAAAAAAAAATGTAAATTGGTAGGGGGGTGGATAAACTTTTTTTGCATACTGTATATTTTATTGGAGTTGCTTTTAACGATTTTTGACGTTTGTTGATATGTCGCGTGTAAACAGACATGTAGAAACTATTGGACTGTCATTTAACTTTGCAGTATAGGAAAACATGTATATCTCATTGGAATAGCTTCCTTTGATTTTTGAGGTTTGAATATTGTAAAAAGATCTATCCCAATCATTAAATAGTCATATAGATTTGCCTTTTAAGAAATCCAACAGCAAACATTTGTTTTGGTATGTTTTTCTGGGATGAACATCGCTCCCAATAAAATACATCTTACATAATTGTTCTTTACAAATTATTGAAACAATTTTCAACTATGTTATCGTATACTAATTAGAATGATTAGTCAAACTAAATATTGCTAACAACAATGATACTGTAATAAATAATCATTGTTTGTTATTGTTTCATAAGACAAGGGGTTCCGGAAAAGAATGTTTTGAGATTGAAAAAAAAAATTATTCTACTGCAATATTTATTTGCTAAGATTCTAATTGTAAGCCTTCTACACGGCTAATTCAGATTCCAGCACTAGTACTCGAACTTCATGAACCAGTTCCATGAACTCATATGATGTAGTCGTTGTTTTATTGCACACAGGAGCATTAATTATGATTTGAATACACGACACCACTGAAACGGAGCATATATTGGTCAGTGCTATTTTTCTTCACTCTAGCAAAACGAGCATAACGTTGCTCTATATTCCATGTTGGGAGAGCTGTTATTACTTCATGCTAATTGAACGAGCTCAATATTGAAGTCAGCCGTGGCCCAATAGAATCGAGCGCAGACACGAAAAGCATCACAGCTCAACAGTTCTGGATCGAATCCCAAATCAGCTACAATAAAAAAAACACAACTGTGAAAGCTCCCACTGCCTGGTGTTTATTTTTCGATTTATTTTTAGAAATCGATTAAATATATGTGTCAAAAGAATAAGTAAATTTCATGTGATTTTCACATAAACTTTACTTCGATTGATTTATGACACATATATTATATTGTGGTGAAAAGTAAAGCTTATGCTTATGGGTTTCCCTAATAAACGGGTGCCATACACTAACGATATCATAGATGGTACGACTGTACCACATAAAGTTAGAATTATATCCCGAATTGGTGGTTAGGCGCATCTTATGGTTATTGTTTATGCGGGTTCAAATCCATTTAAGTTAATTATTATAATTTGACCGATTTTCATTTATCACATGGCGATCATATAAAAGTTTTCAAATTATCAGCATTGTCAATGTATCAGATATTCATATAGAATTTACCTGACACATTTTCAATCATATCATTTTCAATGGATTATCTTATAGCGCAAAATTATTAGACTTCCACATAACAGGAATATGTCAAATTGGTTCAGTGTGGTGGGATATTCCGGTTTTCAACTTCAAGGCAGATTCGTATGAGGGATCGTTACTTCGAACGTCTCGTACTCCAGCGTGGATGCCATACAGACGGAAATGATCCTCATATACTTGGGACAATTCACAATCGAACATCGAACTCAGCCACCTCCACCATGGTCTTGCTTTGTAGCTGAGCTTCTACAAACTGAGCTAAGGGAGGCCTGTGAAATTATTAGTACACGTACTTATTTTTAGCGCAGGAGTCTAATCAGGTGCGAAATCGGCACTGCTGAGAACAAATATTATAAATTAACAATATGGTCCAGTTTCCGAATTATCATATGCTTCTGAAAAAAAAACGCAACATTAATACCCTCTCCCGGTGAGAAAGGTGACTAAAACCACAGACAAACAGACATAACACATTGCATATTTCTCACTGTAAAACATCGTCGCTAAAACATTACCGCCATCTGTTGAGTACACTGTGGTGGGCACTACATTGAACAGATGGCGGTAGTGTGTAAACGTCAAACGCAAGAGAATTGACTATGCGCGGTACAGATGGCGGCACTACGATACTTTCAAATTGACCGTTGAATGCTTGTTCGATGAACAACTTGCGAGCGTTATGTCTGTTTGTCTTTGCTAAAACCATTCGTGGCATTATTTTTAAGCTTGTAATCAATCCATAAGTATTAGAATAGTAACCCATGACTCGTATAGGCCTTTTTAATGGCCAACGTGGAGTGCACCACGCGAGTTCGAGAGGAAACTTAAACCAAACTGTTTGTTTACATCAGAAGAAGGATTTTTCACAACGCAAACTAAAGCATTTTTCATTGAACATCTTGCCAATTTCCATAAGTAGTTGTCTTATCTTACGATTTCCCACACATCTGAACTGATTAGCACCTAATTTAAAACTACTCACACACAAGAAATCCGGAAGATCATAACCACTAAGGCACTATTGAAACCACAAACGAAGTGACAGACGGAGCGGCTCGAAAACTTTGGTGGCTAACCTGCTATTGCAATTTTTCAGTGTACCACATGGCAACACCACTACTACTGGATTGTACCATAGAGGTAACTCTAAGACCACTGGGTCCCAAAGAAAATCATTATTATGTTTGGATCACTCAGTACCAGAACAACGGTCCCAAGCAGTCCTAAGCTATTTCACTCACCCCTGCATGTTCTGCATGAATCCACACACCCCTGATGTTATCTGTCAAACTTTTATAGCGAATCAAAACAAACATAGTGTAGTAATAGAATTTCAACTAGAATGGGGTACTTGGTAGAAGTATACTTGGGACATAGAAGTACTTGGGACCAATAGGCTACTCAAGCAGTGAATCAATTTAAAATCGTTAGTTTCCACCCCCTGGTATTAGTCTAATTTTGACAAAAAATTTAAGCGCAACAATGTATAAATTTCTATTAACCATAAAATGCATAAAATTTAATCTTTATTCGTTTTGTAATATTTTTGAGTGTAAATATTCAAATCCCAACCCTGCAGGTGCGCTACTTTTTGTTTACACGGAATTGAAAAACTACCCAAAATTAAGTTCTTGTCCCCGGGTTCAACCCAATAATCCAAATTTGAGTAAATCGCATATAGTAGTTTCCATTTAACACCAGCAAAAAAACTTACTCTTATAAGTATATTCTACCCAAAATTAAGTTTAACCGTAAATTTGAGAACATTTAATTTCCTCAAAAGTAACTTACTGGGCTGTACTATATCGTTGGGTCGAATCTCTCGTTCCTTTTTTGACAACAATAACAAGTGCAAGTGAGAGGCTAAACTCAAAATTAAGAAAAAAGAACTCAAATTTTGGGTAGTATTTTTTCTTCGTGTAATCACTTTGAGTAATCAGTGTAATTTCTTACAGCTTCCTCTCACCCCTCGGCAGCATAAAGCTGTCGTCTCCGAAACGTCAACCCTCATGTTCGTTGTATACGAATGTCAACAAAAGTGTCCATGCTTCAGTTTCTCATAAAATTCCAAAACGCGTGTTTTGTTTAGATTCCGAGAATAAAACGTAAAAATTTAACGTAACAATAACTGGTTAGCGAAAATGCTCCGCCGTCAAGCCCGTCTCCGTCGGGAGTACCTCTACCGAAAGGCAGTGGAAAGCAAACATAAATCCCTGCAAGACAAGAAAGCAAAGATCAAGCAATCCCTCGAGGAGCACACGCCGATTCACGGAGATCTGAAAAAGGACGCCCTCACCCTACAGGACAAGCTCAAATGGAACGATGAAGGACCTAAACGAGCAGCGGAAATCGGAGGAGTCAGTGGTGGTGCAAACACAGCCGATTCCCAGGATGACGAGTACCGATACGCCGGGTGTGAAGATCCAAAGATAATGATCACCACTTCCAGAGATCCTTCGGCGAAGCTGAAACAATTTGTGAAGGAAATGAGACTGATCTTTCCGAACGCGCAACGGATGAACCGTGGTAACTTTGAGATGAAACAACTGATCCATGCTTGTCGGGCGAACAACGTAACGGATTTCATCGTGGTGCACGAACATCGAGGTGTTCCGGACAATTTGATCATCTGCCATCTTCCGTACGGACCAACAGCTTCGTTCAACTTGTCTGGAGTTGTGATGCGACACGATATCCCCGACATTGGACCGATGAGTGAACAGAAACCTCATTTGATTTTCCACAATTTCAAAACAAAACTGGCCGAGAGAACGATGTCGATTTTGAAGCATCTATTCCCGGTGCCGAAGGAAGACGCCAAACGCGTAATGACATTCGCAAATCACGATGATTACATCAGCTTTCGCCATCACACGTTCAAGACAGTGGATCGGGAGATGGTTATGACGGAGGTAGGCCCGAGATTTCTCCTGAAACTGTACCAGATCAAATTGGGAACGCTGGATGACCTGGATGCGGCTGACACAGAATGGGTTTATCGGCCTTACATGAACACGGCGGCCAAGCGGAGGTTCCTCTCGGACGACGACGGATGGCAGCAGGATGATGATGTACAATAATTTGGGTATTATAAATAAAGTTGATTCGTATAACAGTACCTGTTACTAAATGTAAAACATCCGAAAATCCTCAATTCTTTTGACGGTACTCACCAGAATCAATTTCCTCCACCAACACGACGGTATCCTTGTGCAGTCCTAGATTGTGCTCTTGGAACAATTCGAATAGTTGGTCCACGTCTTCGGGAGAATTGTGCGGTCTCACATACACTACATCACCAGGCTTCCAATCTACGGCTTTCTTGGTAAACGTAATGAATCTCACGTCTTGGAAATGATCCTCTGCAGTTGTACGCCTGTTTTCCTCCACCGTCGTAACGAACAGATTATCTACTTTCACTTCAGCATACATATCGGCTTCTTCGTTAGCCGACCCTGAGTGCTGTTCCACGACCCACCGATACTCTCTAGGGCTCTCGGTCAGCTTTCGTAAACCTACAGGAATCGGGCTCAGCTCGGTCAACTTATTCCAAAAATTATTCATCCAAGGCATGAACACGGCGCCATATCCCAGATCATGCTGATCATCGCACAGACCTACCGGAAGAAGTGCAGTAGCACCCAGCTGTAGTAATCTTTTGTGCAACCGCTTTGCAACGTAGTTAAACTTCGGATATCTCGAATCGCCCAGACCGAGCACTCCGAAGAACATCCCACGCAGTGAATCTGTCGGAAGGCTCTTACGAAGCAGAAACTTCCAAAATCGTTTCATATTGTCCGGTTCCTCACCCTGACCGTAGGTGGAGCAAACCATAACGACGAAGTTTTCCTCGAGCAGTCGTGCAATGTCATACTCATCCATGGCGGAAACGCACCCCTGAAGGTGGTACATTTTGGAATCGCGCCATATCTGTTCAGCAAGATCCTGAGCCGTCCCGGATTGACTTCCATAGAGAATCGTCAGCTTTCTAGCGGACATTTTGCAGCTGCACAAAAAAAGATGAACTCGGTATTAAGTTCGTATCTAATGAGCTAACAACCCACGTATATAAGTATTGCATACCTTATCAAAAGAATGACACCTAGGCTCTATTCCGATGGGTGCTGGCTCAGTGATCTCGTTTCCACTAATAATCCACTCTATCTGCCTGAGCCGTCTTCTTCTGATAACGTTGAACAATCAGTCCGATAATTGTAAATGGTACCAAGATTAGCACAAGCCACGGCCACAAGTTGCACTTCTACAGCTGGATGCCTTCAGCAGATCTTTTGTTTTGACTGAGACAGGGAGCTAGTTTCTTCCTGTTTCTTCTTCTTACACAAAGGGAATGACAAAAACAAAACTTGACGTCTTTTCAATGACTAGTCATCATCATCAATTTTCGTCACGTGAAGAATTCAAGCTGGACATTGCATTAGGTCCTAAGTAACATTGACAGATTCTCTTCGTCGGCTTTTTCTCTGTTTCCAGGTATTTTCAGCACACAAATCGATAAACGAAGCTTTTATCTAGCATGTAATACGACAAGCACAACAATGAACGGTAATGGGCTCGAGTTATTAACGAAAGAGAAAGTCGACGAAGAGAATCGTTCAGCTTGAATTAATGATCGGAATTTTGCTCAAAGTTAACTACATTTATTTTGCAGTGCATTGTGTGACAGAAATTAATAATAAGTAATTCAGTGTTCACATTGCATTAGGGCGAAACTGGTGTTGTAAACAATGACTTCAACGCCAATTTCTCGCAAATTAAAGCTTACTCCTGCAAATTAACGATGCCAGCTGGTAGAAGAAACATTCATCTCCCTGATGGTGTCAATATTTTGCTTGTTTTAACGATAAATCGACGACTAAATCCATTGAATACAAAAGCAATTTCGCTCTTTTGAAATGTTGACACCCCAATTGTCTGTTTACAAAATTCAATCAGTTTTCTGCGTTTTCTGCTGCTTACAAGAGTCATAGTTGTTGTGAAATCGTCAGCAGTGAATTTTATTCGAAAATTTTTGTTCCTGCAATATTTATTTATTCTCCCGCATAAAAAATCAAAGCAAAAGAAGGTAACGAGAAGTTGATACCCTCAGTCGTGTTCCAATCGAGAAAATTTCCTTTTTACAGACCATGGGCAACAAACAAGTCAAGCAGCATTTTGAGACTGCTCAGAAGACGGGAGTGTTAAAAATTTCCCAAATGAGGCTAAATGAATTTCCTTCTGCGCTGAAGGCATTCCCAAATGTGCTGAAAACGTTGGATCTGTCCGAAAATCGCTTCGTGGAGCTGCCGGGTGACGTTGGAAAGTTTACGATCTTGAAGCATATCAACGTTGCCGGAAATCGCCTAACATCGATACCGGAGATCATTGGTGTGCTGGTTAAACTTGAAACGCTCAATGCCATGAACAACCTTATCGTGAAATTGCCACCGGAACTGAGCCAGTGCAAAAATCTGAAGCAAATCAACTTTAGCAACAATCAAATCAACGAATTTCCCATCATGGTATGCGGTTTGAAGCAGCTGAACCTGTTGGATTTGTCACGGAATAAAATCACTTCGATTCCAGACGAAGTCAGCGGCCTGCAAGTGACGGAACTGAACGTCAATCAAAATCAGATCTCTGCAATATCGGAAAACGTTGCCCTGTGCCCAAAGTTGAAAACATTCCGGATAGAGGAAAACTGTTTACAAGCCAGTGCAGCCCTGTCCAAAATTTTAAAGGATTCGCAGATCTGCAATCTGTCTGTGGACGGCAATCTGTTCAGTTCCAAAGCGTTCGCCGAACTGGACGGATACGATGCCTACATGGAGAGGTACACAGCCGCTAGAAAAAAGATATTCTAATTTGCCTTAACTTTTGAGATTGATATCTATTTGTTTATTTTTATGCACGCTTTCAAAGTGTATCAATGTTGGAGTGATTAATAAAGTAATCTAAATGCAGCCGCTAAGTTATTTGTCACGATCACGAACTGAAAACCCCCTCTGGAAGTGATATCTGCAACAATACGATAACCTGTGTCGTAAATTCAATGAACAATTTAATCCATCAGTCAACGCATAAATAAAACAGGTAGTAAATGTATCGCCACAAACCCGTACGCAAAAATGCAAATTCACATGTTCCCCCATCATACCACACACACTCCGAGATCACTCCTTCACGTCGCCAATTCCGTCCGCATTAATCGCGTACATGGCCTCACTCTCCGGCAAGCACGGCGAGTCATAGATCTTACAAATTCTGGTCTCACCCCGTCCCTTCCTCAGGTAAAGCCGCGTCGTCGAAGCATGAGCCAAAATGTGACCGCCGATAGGTTTCTTCGGATCCGGTGTGAACATAGCCGCCGCATCAACCTGTGCCACCACCTGGTTCGTAATGACGACCGCCACCCCAAATTCATCCGCCAATCGAAGCAACATTCTCAGGAACTTACCCAGCTGAACTTGCCGGGCGTTTAACTCGCCACGACCGCTGTAGTCGGTTCGAAAGAGAGCTGTCGCACTGTCCACGATTAGCAGAGCGTAACGAGATTCGACCATCATCGCCGACGCTTGAACTAGAAGTTTCATTTGATGGTCCGAGTTGAAAGCGCGAGCATAGACGACATTGTCCAGGACGTCCGTGCCGACTAGTTTGTATCGTTCGGCAACGGCCAGCAATCGTTCCGGGCGGAATGTTCCTTCTGTGTCAATGTACAAACATTTACCTTCACCACCGTTCTGACTTACCGGAAGCTGGCATGTGACTGCCAGTGTGTGGCAGATTTGAGTTTTGCCTAACGAAAACAGAATTTAATGTCTTCACCTTTTCGATTCATGAGATCTTGCGCTTACCAGTACGAAATTCTCCAAACAATTCCGTGATGCTTCCGGTTTCGATTCCTCCTCCAAGTAGCTTATCCAATTCCTTTGAGCCCGTAGTCAGCTGTATGATCTCCGATCGCTTCTGGTGGTACTCAGTGGCAGTGGTGAATCCCATCGGAACCAGCTTAGTTGCTTCCAGAAGGATCTTCTCTGCTTTGGCTTCCGATATGCCTTTGATCGCTACCAGGTGCTTGATCGGTGCGAATGCAACTGCTTCCACCGTGTGGAAACCGACTTCCGCGAGCTTTTTGAGATCACCCGAAGTAATTCCATTTCCCTGAAAATGTCGGTTCGATTCATGATTGAACATGGCACGCCATATAAAAAAAAACATCGTATACAAACCTCCAACTTTCCGATCAACAACGGTCCACAGTCGTCCTCTTCCTGATCGGCAGTGACTGCTGAGGATGCGTTCTTCTCCATCTGCTGAGCCATGTTGGAGGCTTTCTCGTTGGCCACTCTTAAAATTTCAGGAAATGCAAAAAAAAGTCCACTTTCTACGGCACCAACTGAAAACACACGAATGTTTACCTTCGAGTCCTTTGAATTTCTGATGATGGTGTTGGGAGCAAGCGGGAAAGAGACATCCATCCGCAGATTTTTCCCTCGCTGTCCGTTGCCACAATTTGATCTAGACAAGTAGAGCCGATGGCGATTGTGAGCAGGGATGCCAGGTTATATTTTTCACAAAAACTTAAGTTATGATCACGCTCGTTTCGATCTCCTCAAAATAGATAAATAAACTTTAACTCAAACGCTATTTTGAGGTTACTCATTTTTGAGTCAAAAACGCCTCAGTCGAGCCAAAAGGGAAGTTACTCAAAAATGAGTAAACATGCATTTACACAAGTTTGAGTAAACGTGCCTATGGAGGAAACTGGGTAACGGATACTCAGATGATGACATTTATCAACTGAGTAAAGGTTACCCATTTCAATAGCAGAGTTTCGTATTTCAAAGCCATATGTTAAACCACCGACAAACCGACATGACACTTAATTCTAACTTATGCCCGAAAATCGTAAACGGCCGATTTAAATGTGCAGTCAAAACCGAGGTCATAGTTTAAGATCTGTCAATTTGCTGCCATGTTGTATCCAAAACGGACATTTCCCGTACGATTTGACGGTTTGTTTGAATACGTCAACTCATGTAGGCCGGTCTATAACTTGACTGTCTATAGTCACTGTCACTGAAAAAGTTAATGAAACAGAGGGGGAACAAAGTCCCAGATTTATTCAAATTTTGCTAAAAATTACTCTAAAGTTTGATTTACTGGTTTATCGTCGGAGAAATCTATTTTATCGGATTCATTCGATATAATCGTGCTAAAATCTCTAAAAACAAATAAAATCGATTTTTATCGGTCACATCTCTTATAAATCTGGTAACATCTCTATAAGTATCATGACAGGTAACGATGACAGACGTTTGTTTATAAGAAAGGAACGACGTGAAATCTCAACCAACAATTCAAAAAGGCGGATCAACTTTTGTAATTATATCTTATAATGTTCTTTTCTCGCAAATAGAAGCTCGCCTTGCCAAATCAACAACACCGTCGGCTAGGGAAAATTTTCTCCTATCCGATGGTGGAATTGGTTTGCGTAGCCGTGCTTCAGTTTGCAAGATAAGATCATTACAAATTTGCTGATCCATCTTTTAGTATTGTTGGTTGATAAATCTGTTCAAAAATCATTTATGGTGATTCCTTGAAGAGTCCACAAATTGCCTGATGATGGCTGAAATGCCCTGATACTTCAAGTGTTCTAGAGCACAAATTTCGGACACAGTTGTGACATCACTCATGAAATTGAAACTCCCTGTTTGCTGCATCAAATGTGAAGTTCCAGTTTCATTGTTGTATGTTTTGCGGCAGCTGTACCAACCAGTGAACACTCGTGTTTATTGCAGTTACCGAGTGGACGTAATTTGTGATGAGCCCCGGTCCCTTTCTAATTGTATCATTATTTATGTACGGTCCATATATTTGAAATGACGTTTCACATTCTTCTACACTGAAACAAAGATAATAGTTAGGAATACTATTTTGCAGAAAACACTTATTTTCAGTATAACTACGCTTAATACCGTTAAATCTACCATGATTTCAGTATAATTGACTATAAATATAATCAAATTTACTATCATTCTGTCAAAACTACTATGCTTACTCAAACGGCATAGTAGTTTTGATAGAAAAAATGGTAAAATTAAATGAATTTCGTTTCTGCTAAAATCTATTGGTGGGAGTATTTAATTTAAACCATCAATATAGTATTTTTGCCAATGGATTTTGTTTCTGTGTAGTGATGGCCGATTTTCATTCGAATTATCGATTAATCGATTAACGAACCGAAAAGTAAAATATTTGTAATCGGTTATATCATGCCGATATAAGCTTTAACATCTCCAGAGGATCATCATCGATCGTTTCAAACATGTGCTGCACTCTCATTGGTGGAAAAATGGTAGCACAGCGAACAAAAAAAAATCGATAAGTTGTTAATCGAGTAATTAAAAAATAGGCCACCTCTGATTTTGGTGTGTTTGTTTTGATCAAAATGAGCGCAAAATTTCATCTCTTCCGAGGGGGCAGCAAAACAACAAAATTACCTTGAATACGGGGGGTATTCATTGGATGAAAGGGACCGTGAAAGAGGACACTAAAATAGAAAGTTTTTCTTCCGACAGTTTCATCTTAGTATTCATCTTTGGCTGTATTCTTGAAGTGATAGTATAGTATAGTGATAGTATAGCACATTACACACATTATAGGAAGTGCAGAAACGTATATGTCACGACTGGGAATTCTCGGATATCTCCAAGGTCATTACTGATTTCCATCATTACCTCAATAGACTTTCCCAATCTTTGGCATCCGGTGAAGATCAGCATTGATGGCACCTACCGTTTGGTCTTGGGTTTGGTCATGTTTGGCCATCAATTGGGTTCTTTAATTTTGAAAAATATGTCCGTTTTTATATATCATCTGAAAGAGCTTCGTTTTCTGAGCACAGTGATATTTTTTTTTTGAACCCACACACTTTCATCTCGATTTTTAAATCAAGATTTAAAGCAAAATGATATCATCACTGTTTGACACTAAACTGACAAACTGACAGCTCGCTCCCATACAAAGAGACACCGAGGGGCGCGAATAAGGTGATTTTTGCAAATGTAATCGTACTTATTTAAAATAGTTCCAGTGTACCAAAATTTATGAAATTTTGGGTTTGGGTTCCATTTTTAATGCAGATTACGAATATGCATTTACCTCAATACCCTTAAAGAACCCAATTATGTTGCCAAATCTTCGGACAAATATCGTTGCTTCCAGAGTTTGAATATGCAACAATTGTAGAAGCAGGTGCCCATGAAAGTGACAGTTCACATCACAAAATACACTAAAACAACATCAGCATAATGCTCGATAATTCTACCACATCCAAGATTATCGATGAATAGTGTGTGAAATCGAATGATATCGGCAGGTGCTTGTTATTATTCATTACGACTCGAATTTATCTTAAAAAATCGAAATTTTGAAGCGAATTTTATATAAATCCGTTATATGAAATGTAATGCGGATTACTTTCATTCTCCTTGAATGAAACGGACAGTGTGTTTCCATCTTTTTATTCGAGACCACCCACCCCCGGATGCAGTTTTAGGGTTTTAGTGCTGAACGAAGCAGCCATTTTCGCCGTTTCGTACCTGAATAAAAGTCTAACTTTTTCAAAGGATCCCGTTGAGATGAGTCTATTGGTATATGTTATTCGTCTCTCCAGGTCTTGGAAAGAAATTATGTTTTCAAGTGATATCATAGCCTTTCGGTACACCTTGGCAGGGCGTCACAATATCAGATTCAATCGACCAAATCGAAACGACGAAGAGACTGCTGGCTTTCTTTTTCTGTTAAAGTCGAACAGCTTCGCAGCATTCTAGAACCTCAGTCGACGTGCATAAACAAATATTCAATCGCTTGTCTCTCTTTCTCCCGTCGGTCCATTGGTCTTCCTTTCAAGCTTCAGGGAAACGGATGAGCAAAAAAGCGCCCGACTTTGATAGTTTTCTCTTTCATGAAACACATCAACAGAGGTTTCATGACGTAAAGGGTGATACGGTCAAAATTTGGTCAATATCAACTTGACGTATTTCTTTCAATTTTGCATTTAAAAAACCTGAACACCCCTCATTTTGAAGGTGTGTGTGTGTAGAATGTTGCTCCTATTTTGATTTTGGAATTCACTCTTCAGTTGTCAAAATGCCGTCCAAGCAAGAAGAGCAGCGTATCAAAATTTTGCTCGCGCATCGCGAAAATCCGAGCTACTCGCACGCAAAGTTGGCAAAATCGCTAAAAGTTGCCGAATCAACCGTTACAAATGTAATTAAAGTGTTTGGGGAACGTTTGTCGACAGCCAGGAAGTCTGGATCGGGGGGAAATCGAAAACCGGAAGCCGCTGAGACGACAAAGAGAGTTGCCGGTAGTTTCAAGCGAAACCCTAACCTCTCTCTCCGAGATGCCGCAAATAAGCTGGGTGTATCGTCTACAACCGTGCATCGAGCCAAAAAACGAGCCGGACTATCGACTTACAAGAAGGTAGTGACTCCAAATCGCGATGATAAACAAAATACGACGGCCAAAGCGCGATCCCGGAGGCTGTACACGACGATGCTGACGAAGTTTGACTGCGTGGTAATGGACGACGAAACCTACGTCAAAGCCGACTACAAGCAGCTTCCGGGACAGGAGTTTTATACGGCAAAAGGAAGGGGAAAGGTAGCAGATGTTTTCAAGCACATGAAACTGTCAAAGTTCGCAAAGAAATATCTGGTTTGGCAAGCCATCTGTACCTGTGGCTTGAAAAGCAGCATTTTCATAGCTTCCGGGACTGTCAACCAAGAAATTTACGTGAAAGAGTGTTTGAATAAACGTCTGCTGCCTTTCCTGAAGAAACACGGTTGTTCCGTACTGTTTTGGCCGGATTTGGCATCTTGCCATTACGGTAAAAAGGCCATGGAGTGGTACGCCGCCAACAACGTGCAGGTGGTTCCCAAGGACAAGAACCCTCCCAACACGCCAGAGCTCCGCCCAATTGAGAAATACTGGGCTATTGTCAAGCGGAACCTAAAGAAGACCAAAAAAACTGCTAAGGGCGAGCAGCAGTTCAAGGCAAACTGGCTTTCTGCGGCGAAGAAGGTGGACAAGGTGGCTGTACAAAATCTGATGGCAGGGGTCAAGCGTAAGGCCCGGCAATTCGGATTTGGAAAAGCGGAAGCCTAACTGAATATTTTTCCTGAATTTTATACTAATTGAACTTGAAAAAGAAATTTAATTTGATTTTTTAAATAAACGATTTCACCGATTTACACGCGTTTTCCCTTGACCAAATTTTGACCGTATCACCCTTTATATGACGGAAAATGAAAATTTAATTTAATAACATATTTAAAGCATTTCCCGAATAGA